CTTCCATCGAGCGACCTTTATTCGAGCTCTCCCTCCCCTTCTTTTAATCAGACAATTTCCTTGCTACGGCGAAAAGGCCTATTCCGAGCAGCATATTATAAGACTCGACGCACGGCAACCCTCCTCCCAGATTTTTCCTGCTGAACACCAAGTAACTGTTCAATCGACAATACGACACGGATCTCTTTACCGAGCCTTTTTGTTTAAGAGCTTGCACTTGACTGCATTATACCTTCTTCTCTTCTTTCGATGGAACCTTATATTATCGCTATAGCACATTGGCTTTAAGACCTGGCCGATAGCAAACATCAATATACAAGGAACCTCGACCCTTGTACTCGGCAGCTCGTCCGCTCAATCTCTACGCGATATAAGGCTCCTGCTAAACCCTTTTCTTTCCTTTCGACACCTCTATCGGACAAGACTTTATCGATATATAATACTCGTCTCGCTAAGCTTTCCGAGCTGATTTTTCGACATCTTTCAGCCCTTCTTCTTCCGGACATTCAAAAAGATATCCTTGCGATCGTGCAAGATATCAAAGAGATTACAATGAATACGGAAAGCTGCGTGCTGAACGAGGCTCTAAGGATACAAACAATTGCCGATATGATAGAATAGACGGTGGACCGCCTTAGTGGAGAATGATTTTGGTAGCTTGAACGGAATATATACTTATACTCGAGGACGAGTGATCGCTGCGTTGCAACTCCGCTCTTTTTTACGAGAGGGGGGTAGTGTGACGACTCGTCCTTTTTGGCCATGCTGGCCTATGCCTCAGGCCTCGCCAAGGCTCCAAGCGAGCCCCTTGGCCACACATGTATATAGCTTGCTTTCAGACCTGTTCTGGTTCTGTACCTTGATATTCTAAGCATATCACCAACAGTTTGTCTGAGCTTTTCGTGTCGTCACATTATAAGCAAATTCCGCGAGGCTTTCGAAGACTTTAAAAAACTTAAAAGCTGCCGCTTAATCGGCAATCGTTAAGCTATTCCGATCCTTTTCCGTTATAAGAATAAGACTTGCAAAGACTCGCAAGCTTACAAGCTTTTAAGCCATTCGCAAGTCTTTTAGCGAATAACTTAAGATACGTTAAGATAAGCGAGTCTTGATTTAAGTATTTTCCGCCGCACTTTTAATTCGTCTCGATAGCTACGCCGCTCGTAAAGTTATTGCCGATAAACTAAACGGCGTCGATATAACTACTATCTTTCGTCTTAAAGCTACTCGCATTAGTTAAGCACTTACCTCGATTAACTTTAAAGCGAAAGATTTCTTTATTATAAATGAAGTTAAAAAAGTGTATTAAAAGGTTCTTAAAGCTACGAAAGCGATTATCTCGATTAAATAATACACGTACGCTATTTAAAAGGTCTTTATCGAAATCAAAAGCTTTTTCGACGAGATTTTTAAAACAGCAAAGCATATCGACGAAAAGATTTTAGCTTAAATCGAGAGAGCTCCGATAAGCGTCCGCATCTTTTAACACGAAGCCGACTCGGCGACCGGCTTAACTTGCTAAATAATCTCTTTTTTAAAAAAAGTACGCAGCTTTAAGTTGTTCGGCTATAATAGCTACTTTTAATTAGTCGATAAAAAGCAACTTATTAAAAAGCACGACTTTAGTTGCTTCGGTTAATATAATCCGATCAAGTGCATTCGATACGTACGCTGCTTTTATTACAGCGAGCGACGAGATTAGCACGACGAGCTCGATAGCAAAGATTGCACGGCACCTTTTCGCTATGTAAATTACTACAGCTCGTACGAAGCTAGTTATAAAAACTGCTTTGCGGCTTTTAAGCGAGTTAATAACAAAGTGATCACTTTTATTAAGAAAGAGCTAAGCGCCGTCCGACGATTAAAAGCTTAAGCTTACGCTATTGTTAATACTCTTATAACGGAAAAAAACGAACCGACTCCGGCTTTTTAACTAAAGACTTTTGCTACCGGTGTTAACGCAGCTCTTTTTCAAAAAAAACGCGCTTTTGCGGTGCAAGAGCATAAGCGAGCGACTTCTTTTTAAACCGTTTTTTTATAATCTTCTTTTTAAGCTTTTACGCAAGTTACGAAACTTTTACGCAATATAGCTACGCGCAAGAACTTTAACGAAAAGACTTTAATAGATAGCGCTTTTTCTATTATAAACGAAAGAAAAAACACGCTAATAGCGATATCGGATTATCACGTAAATAACACTACTAGCTTATCTTCTTCGTTTGTAAAAAGCTCGAGCATTGTTATTAGCTAAGATACTTAAAATAACTTTATATGTTAAGCACGCTAATACGGTACCGCGGCACTCGCCGCAATCGATAGCTTTTTAAAGAAATCTAAGTCTATTAAGCGAACGTAAGCAAAAAGCAATCATACTATATTACTTTACTTTACTTTTGCTATTTAATAAATATTAACGTTATTTGTATTTAAAAGCCGTACACGCATTCGAGTATTAAAACTTAAAACTATTCGTTTTACGATTATTATGCTTCGATAAAATCGTAAGATAATTAAGACGATGCTTAATACTTTGTTAAGCGATTACGAGTGATAACTTACGTGCGTAAAAGCGTAAGTCTTCGTACTTAATAACGCTGTTTTATTCGCAATAAAGATCTCTTATAAGTCGATGTGAACGGCTTCGCTATTTTAAACGTTTATCGGTAACCTTTAATAGACTCGATTATAAACTACATCACTTACTTCGTCTTTCTTTTTAAATGCTTAATTAAAAGAGACTTTAATATATAGCACGATATATTCGAACTAAAAGTTGAGCTTAAAAGCCGAAAAGAAGACTTTGCGGCTTAGTTTAATATTAGTAAGATAAACTATATTAAACTCTCGAGCGACTTTACTTATAAAGCTAGTTACGTTTTAAACTTGACCTTTTTAAATATCTTGTTTGCTTAAACGATAATTCGCTTCGATCTTTATTCGAGCTTAAACTACGAGACTTAAATCACGATTATCTTTAATCGAAGAGTTGTTTTTTTAAAGCGCTTTTAATACCGAGTACCGGACCAAGACTTCGAGAAATTCGCTTCGCTTATAGCGCTAAGCGTAAACTAGCTCTTCGATTCGTAAACGATATATTTTATCGAAGAACTCGATTAGCTTACGATTAGCTTAATTATTGCTTTTAACTTTGCTTTAAAAGTTGCAGAACAGCTTGCTCGAGAAAAGCTGATAGCTGCATTATAATAGACGGCAAACTGCTAGACAGCGTATAAAAAACACTTAATAGCGCGCTTTATAATATACGACGAAAAACCGACTTAAAAAACGCAAGATTAGCTCGTTATAATCAAGAAAGCTAAAAGAGCTTATTAGACTTACGTAATCGACGGAATAAAATCGGACTAAAACTTGTATAAGGTTATAAGCTAGCATAAGCTTACTCCGAACTTAAAATCGCTTTTTTTAATAGTTAACGACGAAGCTATCGAAAATATTAAAAAAAAAGCGGACGTATTACGAAAAAGCATTTTTAAACGGTTTAGCGCCGCCGACGACTTCGACTACGATTTACTCGCTAGTTAAGAAAGCATTAGCCAGCTCTTTTAAAATATTACGGTATTATTAAAAGAAGTAGAGTCTTACGTAATCGAAGTAATAAGCACTTTACTCGAGACGGATAAGATTATCGTACGACTGCTTAAAGCATATTAGCAATACGTTTATTACTTTTTTTATAGCTTTTTTAATAAGTACTTAGCTTTTTATTATTTCTCGAATGCGTAAAAGCTCGTTAAAGTCTCGATAATTCTTAAAATAAAAAAAAGAATAAGACTTTTATTTGCTTTTAACGATTAATTGCTTTGCTTTCGTATATCTTTAAAAGATTAAAGCGCATTGTTACAAAGAGAATTGCGTAGACTGCTTTTATTAACGACGTTTTTAGCTTATAATACGCGAGAGCCTTTTTACGGCGCTTTATATTAAACTTCGCTTTATACTTAATATACGATATCGAGTCCGCACTTATAGCTAAATACTAAGT